GCGGGACCCCCGTGAGCGCATCCCGGTCCCGGGGCCCGCGGGGCTCGGAGCGCGGTGCCGGTGGCCCGGGCGCGGTGCCGGTGGCCCGGGCGCGGTGCCGGTGGCCCGGGGCTCCGAGAGACGCCCCCTCCCTAAAGCCTGGCAAGAGCCCGGGGCTTTGGGGCAGCGCTCCCGGCCCCGCTGCGCTCCGCGCTGCCCGTGGTGCCCCCCGAGCCCCTCCGCCGCCGCGGGGGCAGCTTTGGGAATTCAATTCCTCCGTTCAAAGCGTTTTCCTGAGGAATTAGCCCCCCCCACGAAGGGATGCGCCTGAGCGAACGCAGGCGCGGGAGGAGGCAGAGAGGGATGGGTGGACGGACGGACGGACGGACGGACGGATGGAGCAGGATGCGGGGTCTGGATGCGGCGGGGACCGAGCATGGCAGAAGCCGGGAAAGGACCAACCTCCGAGCCGCGGCTTTTCCTCCTCTTCCTCGCGCGGCGCGGAACGGGAGCGGCCCCGGCCATCGCCGCTCCGGGCTCGCCGCACCGAGAGGCTTTTGTCCCCTGGCTGCGGCGGGGGCTGGCGGAGGAGCCTCGCACTTCGGCAGAAAGGAGACGAAATTCGATTCGTTTGCGCGTTTTATTGTTGTAAACATTAAAATTGTCTTTCTCAAAGAAAGAGTTCTCGGGAGAAAAAATAATAATAATAATTATAATAATAATAATCCGCGTTTCTAACTGTCGTACACCATATTAAAAAAAGGCAGCGACTTTCCCGTGTGCCAAACCGGGGTAATACAAAGAAAAATACTACAGAATATGGCAATATTAAAAATATTACTCGAACGTAAAATAATATATTAACCGACAATTTTTAGACATAAAAATAAACCAAAACAAACGGAACAAAACAAACCAAAAATTCAAAGTGCTCAGTAATTTCCAGGGAGTTATGTATAGTATAAGCACTCTGGAAACAGTCAAAAAGCTGCTGCATGCAAGATCTGTTTAGCTTTAGACAACAAAATAATCAAGATATAAACTTCTTCTTTAATCAACATCAACAGTACGTACAACACTTACAAACAAGGGGTGTCGGGCGGTGTTTACAAACACTATGTGTCCCTTTGGGGGGGAATTCCGGGGGGTAACACTTGTGCCCACCTATTTTACAATTGAGAAAATGTTTGAAGCTTAGATAACTACCAGTCTTTTATAAAAGCTACCAGACTACATAGTGTCTGAAATACTATTTATAGAATATAGACATTACTGAAATAGCAAGTGCCTATAACATTGTCACCCTGGAATCGTCATGCTTCCCTGGTATGGACAGATTGGGTTTTCTTTTTTTCTTTTTTTTTTTTTTTAAATTCTCCTTTTTTTTGTTTTTAAATTTTTTTTTTTTCCAAACACATTTAGCTTTAATTTTTGATATTTTTTTTGTTTTTTTAGAATTGTTTTCCATGTTTCATCATAAATAGGCACAGAATAATTTATTTTTTTTATTTTTTTTAAAGAGCCAAACTGCATCTGATAAATTTACAAGCCTTCGCCTTCATTAATGCCACGCCAGCCACGCAACGTTTGGGGTTTGGGTATATTACAGCTTTCTTTTACAGCAGAAAACTTTAGTCTTTAGGAGGGTGAGACTTGTGGGTCACCTCAAGGCTCGGTTTGTCAGCGCACGAGTCTGAGCCGCGCGCCCGGCCTTGCCAGCCAGGCTCGTCTTTCGCACCAGAAGTCCTTAATAATAAATTCATTTAGAAGCCGATAATAAAAAGTTTATACCATGGTGTTTGTGTAGTCCACGAGCTGCATCCGTGATGCCCCAGAGCCAAAATGCCCATGGCGTTCTGCCTGCAGGAGTTGGCAGCACTGGCTGGGTGGGAGCTGGCAGCCAGGGGTGCTGCTCTGGGCCCAGCCCAGCTCCCCTTCAGGCAGCCGCAGCTTCTCCTCGGGTCAGTGGAAGCGCACGGGAAGAGTCTTAAAAAGGTAAAGTGTCCAGAAAAAGTTTGTCAATTATTGCTGGCGGTGGCACCAAATCTTCCAGTTTCAGGTAGAAAATGCGCTGCAGCCCCTGTGTGCAAAGCGTGCGGAGTTCGGGGAGCTTCCCCAAGAGTTTGGACAAATAGTTGGGGCGATTCAGCCCCCCGTTATTGAAAGTCACGTGGTCTTTGAGACAATTTACAATCTTGTTCTGAAGCTCTTCCACCCTCTTGGGTTCCTTAAGCCCGTGCCTCTCTGCAAAGAGAAGAGAAGGGAGCGGGACGTTACGGGGCTGGCACGGAGCAAGGAGAGCCGGGCCGGGCGGGAAGGGGGACACTGACCTGTCACCATGGCCAGGGCAGCGATGCAAGAGAAGGCAGAGATGTCAATGTTCATGTTTTGCAAGTTGGAGGAAAACTCCACGATGGAATCGATCCACTCCCCAAAGCCACGGACGCACTGCAACCGGTGCAGGACCACCCCGTTGCAGAAGATCAGCTTCCCCTCCACGGGGTTGGACCTGGAAGGAAGGGGACAACCCCAGAATGAACTGATGGATGGATGAGAGAGGGAGGAAAGTTAGACAGAAAGAGAAAACAGAGGAAAATTAGACAGAAAAAAAAACAGAGGAAAATTTAGACAGAAAGAGAAAACAGAGGAAAATTAGACAGAAAGAGAAAACAGAGGAAAAGAAAGAAAAAGACAAAAGATAAGAGAAAGACAAAAGATAAGAGAAAAGAGAGAATGAGCGAAAGGAAGAAAGCAGGACAAGGAGGGAAAGATAAAACAGAGAATACGGAATGAAAGAGAAAAAAGAACAAGGGAGAACAGGAAAGAAATAAAAAAAAAATAATAAGAAAGGAGATGATGGGGGAGAAAATCTAAACAACTAATTACTTGAGGAGCAATAAATGAAGGATTTAAGAGGCACCTAATTACCGAGGAGTTAATAAAGCGCAGAGCAGTGGAGCGTGAAAGGGTGGGATTCCCGCTCACCTGTACGCCAGCCGCAGCACGAACAGCTCCAGGAAGGCGGACTCGAAGAGCAGGTCCTGGTCCGTTTTGGGGAGGTCAGTGAAGCCGGGGATTTTTTCCGCCCACCCTCGGATGATCTCCATGGAGCCGGTCAGGAGATCGTAGAACTGCTGGATGTGCTGGGTGTCGTCACCGCTCAGCTGGTAGTCGGGGTTAGCCTGGAACTGGAAATTCATTTTAAAAAGCCCTTAATGAGGTTCTCTAAAGTCTATAACCCGTGAAATTGCTCACCCCGTCCCTGGCCGGGGAGCGGGCTGGGATAACAATTAAAGCTTTCTCTGACCGGTGAGGAAATGAGATGTTCCGGGGCAATTAATTCGATTAGGCACGGCGCTCCGTGCGCGGGGGGCCCGATCCCGGGGCGGTGCCGCTGGGGCTGAACCGAGCCCCGGGCGGGCAGGGCCGGGCCGGGCCGGGCCGGGC